AGACAGACAGACAGACAGACAGACAGACAGACAGACAGACAGACAGATAGATAGATAGATAGATAGATAGATAGATAGATAGATAGATAGATAGATAGATAGACTATATTTATATGTATGTATGTACTGTATACATGCATACATATACATATATAGTACATTTATGTACATGCATATGTACATGTACATATACATACACACATACACACATAGTAGATACGGTAGATAAGATAAATACCCTATATTTATATGTATGTATGTACTGCATACATGCATACATATACATATATAGTACATGTATATACGTATGCATATGTACATGTAAATATACATACACACATACATACATAGTAGATACAGTAGATAAGATAAATACCCTATATTTATATGTATGTATGTACTGCATACATGCATACATATACATATATAGTACATGTATATACGTATGCATATGTACATGTAAATATACATACACACATACATGCATACATAAGTGTCCATAAATATAGCCATTAACAAGCCCAGACATGCAGAAAAGGTCAATTAGGGCCTGCCTGTGGCTAATTCTAGTCTTCTATTGCCCAGAAAGTCCTGGTTTATTAGAAAACAATGAGAGCTACAGTGTTGTATAAAAATGTACAAATTCAAAAGTTAATTTTTATAATGTAATCATGTAAATTTATGACAAAGGACCCTTGGCGTTAAGACTAATAGCATTAACTGGGAAACATCATGTTGGATGTGAATACACTGTGGTAAATATGTGTTTTTCCTCTATTTGTCTTAGTTACAGTGTTGTGGGCTGGAGAGCTACAAAGACTGGGAAAAGAACATCCCAGAATCCTGTCGATGTACTCAGCAGTCCACCAATCCGTGTTTAAACGTAAGAGGGTTTCAAACTCACGTGTATCCACTAATATGGTGAAAAGTGCACAAAAAGTGGAGTGATGTTGCTGTTTATCGTGACACCAGAGCCCTCGTTATTGGATTTACATGCATTTGACAACATATTAACACATTTTCAATAGAAGTCTCTGTAAGATTCGATAGTCTAGCGCTGGTCTTGTTCAATTATCTGTAACATTTCTGACTGTTTTGCATTATTTGATTAATTCATTGCAGGTGGAAGCTCCAAGCGACAGCTCCCAGTTATGGACCCATGCACAAGGCCAGCCCAGCAGGATTTATGCCAAAGTAATGGAATCAAAATACTAAATTTTGAATTTTCAGGTGGATTCATGGAAAAACAAACTTATGTTTTTTAGTCTTCTCGTATCAAAACAGTTTGAGGTTTCTGTGCATGTGTTTGTGTGCGGCTCTCTTCGGGTCCTGCTGTCGTGTTTCAGTCGTACTGGTGGTGATTTTGCTGTTCTGGTTGGGATTATTGTTTTTTTTTTTTTTTTTCATTTTCATTCAGCCTCAGCATGAACAACCTCACATAAACAAGCTCATGGTTCAAGGTTCTTTATTTTCATTCACATCACATATGGTACATGATGTGGAACAAAATTGTGTACTTAATCCCATGTTACACCCAAAATAGCAAAAAATGTAAAGTATAAAAATAAACTGTATATAAAGGATCAAAGATATACACTAGGATATACGCCAAACGATACGCTAAAAGATCTAAGATATACGCTAAATACTAATAATGTAAAATAACACAGTATATTAAACAGCAGCCCAAACTTGAGTCTGTGGTGAGCATATTGTTTTATTAAGTATGCATAAAGATGATGTTGCAATGACTGGTCTTCTTTCTCATTTCAGCCATGCCTTCCAGTCATCATTGACTTTTTATCCCACGTTGTTCACGTAATATTGGGCATAATGTGGGGCATCATACTTCTGTGGGTAAGTATCAGGAATATCTTTAATATTATATCCTAAATTTTCAGCTAAATTCCTTTTTGCTCACTATTTTCCAATAACAACTCTGATAAATAAAGACTGAATGAATGAATATAATTTCGACATAACACATACAATGATTATTTTTTGACACCTGTGTAATCTGATCATTTATAGCAGTTACCCATGATGCATCGCTTTACTGCTGTTTATTTTGTTTGTATTTTCTTACTGCATTAAGATGGAAGTTGATGTTAAAAATACTAGCAATATTAAAAATAATAATTAAATTCACTTTGAAATGATAAAAACTTTAACTTGCATACCAGTGTAGCATGTTCTTCCTCGAATGCTAATAGATCAATATTTGTATCTTTCTGCCCCCTAGTGACACTTTTTGCAATTGCAACTCAACAGAAAGAGGAGCAAAAAATAAATAGAACAGGATATAAATAGATCTGCTTTTTCTTTTACCCCACAGGCGTTGTCGATAGGGTTGTGCATTGCCATTTTGTGCCAAATAAGTAAAAAGCTGGAAACTCCTAACGTGGCCTACAGCTCTGAAGCGAAAGCAGGAAACTACACAACTCTGACAGAGACTCTGGATGCAGACGAAATCTGACTTTTCTCGTTACTTTTTATTTTCTCTGTACACAAATTTAAGGAAACTCTTGCCGAACATCTGAAAACACTTAATATTCAGCAGAATCATCAAATGTCACTGAAAACATATGCAGAATGATTGTGTGTGTGCGTGTGTTGCACATTATACTGGTCTGAAAGCAGCTATGAAAACAGTTAAATGTTTTTATGAAAATAAAATGTACTGATACATCTTCTCTATCCAAGGAAGCAACTTAGAGATTATATTTTATACATTCTGTAAGCATAGTTTGTATCAGCTGCCAGCCAAAGAAACAGAATCATAAACAACCTTCCAAACTTCAGATGATAATATTTAATAAGTTTTTTTTTATGTGATGCAAATATTAACATTTAAACCTTTTTATAAACTTCCTGTGCAACTAATTCTTACAGGTTATATGTCTAGAGTTTTATTTTTATTTAACAATCTGTACATTTTCACATCTTTTTTTTTTAAATCAACTGATCTTTTAGAAATATCAGCATAAACCAGTAAAATGCTTATTTGTCTACAAGATGTTACCACGCTGTTTGTGTGATTGCTACTTTTTGCCCTCCAGTCCCAATAAATGCCATAATCCTGGGGTTTTGAGATTATTTGTTGTATTTGTAGCTCTAACATGCTTTCACTTGGTGTTTGTTAACAATATTTTATTTTTGTGGGACTCATTGATGGGTCAACTTAAAGGTGCCAACTTATGGACTGTGGATCAATAAACAGGAAAATAAATTACATTCTGCTTCATGTGTTAATTTATTGATCTCATTGAGACACGAGGACTAATTTACAAGAGAGACCTGTTTTAATCTTCTCTAATCAGTCAAGTTTTGTATATTTTAAGTGTCTGCCTGAGTTACTGATGTCTCTCTGCTTTAATGTATGATCTAAAGCAGTGGTTCTCAAAATAGGGTCCCTGGGCCCCCCAGGGTCCACAAACAAACAAACAAAATGTATTTATTTATTTATTTCAAGCATGTAGATGTTCAACAACCCATTAAAATACACCAATCACATTTACTTTATTCAAAAATTTCCAGGGGAGGATCCCCAGACCCTCCGGCATCGATTTACAAATTAGACCCTGTTGTTATGATTCTGTTCAGTTTTATGTGAAGAGTTTTCATTAATAATTTGAAGAAGTGGCAAAATATTTATGTTCATTGTGTGAATAGGTAAAATTTTGAAGTGGTTTTTGAAACTTAATTTTCTCAAAACTGTAATTTTTGGAAGTTGAAATGAAATATTTTGTTAATTAAGTGTGTCTTGAATGAAAAATACCCCATGTTTAAAAGTATATCAATTGTATTAAAAAACAGGTCTCAAGAGTTTGTTACACAAATATTTCCATTGCATTTTCTTTTTACTTTATCTTCCCTGTAAGTGGACCCTGAACCCAAAAAGTTTGAGAACTCCTGCTCTAAAGTTATTGTATTTCAGCCCTTTCCTCCCTGTTGTCACCTTTTGCTTCCTCAGCTGCACCTCATCAGCTCCTGAAGCTCACCTGCTCCTCATCTCAGTAATTATCTTATCAGGATGGTTCTGGTTATTCTTTGTGCTCCTTGCATCATGTTGCTCTTCTGTGTTTCTGTTCCGCTCCCCTCGCACTCGTACTTCATGCTAGTCATTAATTTTAATTGTTTGAAATGGTTCGCTCTTAAAAACATCATATACGCCCCGGCAGGAACTTTGATGTCAGATGGAAAAGAGTTATTTAGTGTTTCGGATTAATTAAGTCAAATGAATGTATGTTAAGAACATTGGAGGACAAAAATAAATGGCATTTAAGCCAGTTTTGAATAAATAACCTTAAGTGATTAAAACAGTTAAAATTTTACTGCTCAAAAACACAAAAGTTCATGAGTCATTTAAATATTTCAACAAGCAAAATTGCTTTAATTATTTTCATTACCATTATATATTTCCTGTTATAACTACGGTATTTAATGTATTTTTATCATTTTATGTATTGCTTACTTAATTTGATTTTTATTACCATTTACAACCTTACAGCCTATTTATTTTCTCTCCAAACATTTTAGCTTCTGCTTAAAAACAACAATAAAACAGAGCTTAAATAACATCCTGATAATACTTCTTCAATGAATTAATAATGATTTCTGACAATAATGTCTCACGTTAGTAGGAAATCTGATGTAAAACTGCTTTTGGGGAGGTGGAAATAAAATTTAAAAAGTAAGAAACTAAATAAAAGAATCCTGTCACATGAAGCCAAGAAAGAAGAATAATTTTATTCCTTCTATTTACAAAATATTACAGTAATTTCAACTCATAAAAAAAGTGTATGACAGAAAAAAAACTGAGCGTATTTCAGGCATTTATGGTTTAAGTGCACAGGAAGACAGTATCTGCTGTTTTAGACATAATTTCTACAGCAGCTCATTCAGCGGGTCGTTACAGAAGTTATTGTTCTGCACCAGTAACGTCACTTACTGGTGGAAATACAATTATGTGTTGCCCTTCCAGAGTTTCTCCTGTCTCCGCAGTGCCAACATGGCTGCAAACATTAAAACCAAAAGTTTAGACTCTGAATGTGCAACTAAAACAGCCACTTTTTCACCATCTGTTGAACACGATGACGTAAAATTCCCTCATTCGATGATTGTGCATATATACAACGTGCATAACAAGGAGTGGAGACATTCTGGTGTCGCAATGAGTCATCCCGCTGTCTAACCCTTATTATACGCAAAATGTACAAAGATTCTACAATTAGGTTGTTTGACTATACACTAAAGTTCAGCAAAAAGCTGTTGCAATCCAGTAAAGCTTAATTTGGGTGTTTTTTTCCATCAAATACATTTTGGACTACGATTAAAAACGTATGCGTGTGAAAGTTTTAAACAAAGTCAATCAAAGCTTTTTGGTGCCGGCAGGTGAAAATCATGTTCGAGCAGACTTTGGTTGAATGTGTAAACAACAAAAATAGCGACAAAAAATAAAATTTGAAGAGCTCTTATGCATTTGTTTTCAACCAGTTTTTTGTATCCAAATGTAAGAAAATAACAGTAAAGAGAACAATACACAGACAAAATATAAAACACTGCAACCGCAAATGAGGAGCCACCATATTTTTCAGACTATAAGACGCAATTCACTTAAAATCCTTTAATTTCCTCAAAAATCGACAGTGCGCCTTATGTATTAATTCTGGTTGTGCTTAGTGACCTCAAATCGATTTTTGAATAAAGTTTGACTTATCTTTTTAGTTTCACTTAATGCGTCTTATAATCCGGTACGTCTTATGTAAGAAAACAGACTCGTTCATTGATATTGCGCCTTATAGTCCAAAAAATATGGTAACGCACCAGGGCGTGGTCGCCATGGCAACAGGAAGTAAACAAATTACAACAAACATTTGATGCATATTTGTGCTCATTTCAACAAAATGAAGTAGGCAAATGATAATGACATCATATTAGTGTTGCGCTCTGTGGGTTTAAATGACACAAAACACGGTTGTGCTCGCTTAAAGCAACAGTTCAGATCATTTCAAGCGGAGCTCTACAACGTTTAGGAACAAATCATATCTGGTGCTGTCGACAGCTCTTTGAACATCTTACCTCCAACCGGATACAAAAACCAACGGCGAGTCGGGAGAAAGCTACAGGAGTTCTGGAGCAGGTCTGTCTGGAATATGGTAATATTTTGGCTATATTAAATGGATAAGGGGAAATTGCCAAATATTAAAACTACTTTGGTCTTGGCCAGTCTTTAACCAGCTGTTAGCTCATTGGTTGTTTAAGGAGATATCTTTAATAACAGGTAAGTCTCTCACTGAGCTGCGACTGTTGGAAGACTTGTTAGTGACACAAAATTGCAGAATGGTGAGAAAAGGCATAAACTGTCCACTGCAGTCTCACTAAATTTTAAGTGCTTGCAGCAAAGTGACCTGCCTTTATGATTTAATCTACTGGAGTACATTTGTGTGGAGATTTGGAAGACGCTCATAATTTGCCGATGACCAATTGATCACAGCCCACCCACACCACTTTAAGACACCGATTGTTCGTAACGGTTCCACAGAACTCCAGTTTAAGCGACTTGAAGTATCATTTTACAACAGAGAATGTGCATTTATTTGTTTTGGAGAAAAGTGTTGCTTGCATACAACCTCGTCTAATGTGGACATATCTGTCCGTGGTTTGAAGGAAAAGATTGAAAAGATTTCTAGTGTGTCAGAAAGCTGTTATGATCAATGTAAAGAATAAAACGGTTCCTATTTCTTTTTTGTTGAAACGTTTCATCCTTCATCCAAAGGACTTCATCAGTCCGAGGAGCCACAATAAACTCAGTCTCACAAGAAGCACACTCCCTAAGTGGACCGACCAGTTTTCTGGTGATAAGATGGTTTCTGGGGCCAGCCCTCTCTCCTGTCGACTCCTCTGAGGAAGCCATAGCCAAAGTGGTTCAAAACATCAAAGTTCATGCTCAATAATCCAGGTAAAACATGCTACATCGTTCAGTTAGGTCATCTGGACGATTTCTTTTTTTGTTGTTGAGACATTTCGTCCTTCATCCACAGGACTTCATCAGTCTGAGGTTTTGTTCAGATGTTTCGTTCTTCATCCAAAGGTCTTCATCAGTCTGAAGTTTTGTTGATGTTTTGTCCTTCATCCTAAGG